CAAAATTTCTCTAAATCGAATTTTTTTTGTGAAAATATTAAAGGATCTTAGCTAATAAAAAAAACGTCTTGGACCTTTCCTGCTACATCCTCTCCTGTTACATAAGGTTGGAGAGGAATGTTTCACTAATTTTCTATAAAAAAAAAGAGAAAAAGATAGCGCTTGTATACTCTTAAAAATAACTTTGGCACATTGTTTTTATCAAAAGTTATGGATAAAATTTTTGCGAGAATAAAAATAAATTAAAAAATTAGAATAACTAAAAATACTAATTTTATTAAAAGCAATATTTAAATAAAAAATTATATCATTTTAAAATATTAAATATTAAATTACTCATTAAGGATATTTTAATAATGGTGATGTGTAAAGGACTTTTTTTGTACATATCCTTAATGCATTCTTCTATTTTTTGGAGACTAGTATTTTGAGATAAAAAATAAAATAAAATAAAAAAAATGAGTCACCATTTTTCAAAATAAATACAAAATTAAAGAATCAATAAAGATAAAAAAAAAAAAAAAAAAAAAACTTCAGGTTATATCCTGTAGCAAAAGAAACCTTTAATTTTTAATTTTATTAATCAATTTAAAACTTAATATTTTGATTTGGTTGAATTTAATCATTTTTTTAAAATTTTTGTTAAGTAAAATTAATACCAAAAACGCGCGCGCGCGCGCACACACATGTTTTAGTCATTAAACTTAACAAAAAAGGATATTTTAGACATTTTACATACACTAACATTGAGTTTAATGACTAAAATTTTTTTTGCCATCAAATTTATTTAATAAAAATACTCAAATAAATTAAGAATAAATAAATAAATATTAAATTTAAATTGACAAAATTAAAATTTAAAAATTATTTTATTATAAAAGTCAATTCTTAAGATTTTTTTGGGTAATTTTTTCAAAATCCATATCCTTAAAAAATTTGATACGAAAGAAGAAGACAAAATTATCCCCAAAGATATGACAGAAAAAATTATGTGTTCCACCATAGAAAAAAAAGAAAAAAAACACAAAAACACAAAAACATAAAGAAGAAGACAAAACTACCCCCCAAAGATATGACATAATAAATTATGTGTTCCAACATAGAGAAAAAAAATACAAAAACACAAAAACATAGAGAAAATTGGGTTTCAAACATAGGACAGGGAGAAAATTTTGTGGTTAAACACTGTGACAGAAAAATTATATTTCAACACAAGACACAGAGAAATTTTGTATTTCAACACAAAAAAATTATAGACATGGAAAAAATACCAAAAAGGGAGAAAAAGGCAGAGAGGGGATGAGAGAAAAAAGATTTTAAAACTCTTACATCAGATTTATGCACAAATCGACAATAATAAAACAAATTGACCAGATAGAAAGTAAAGCATGCTAGATCTATGCATAGATCTGAGTGAGGTTGTCGATGATGGTAAACGACGGTACTTAGGCGACGGTGGTAGAACGAACGGTGATAGATGAATGCCGGTGAATGTGCTGACGATGCTAGAGATACAGTAAAAGCTAGGTTGTTGTTATCAACAATTGGGTTTTTCTTATGACATCTTGTAAATTTTTTGGAGGTATGATAGAAGATTTGGGTTTCTATCAATAGTTGGGCCTTTCATATGATATCTTGTTTTTTGTGTGTGTTTTTTTTAAGAGATATGAAAGAAGATTTGATTTTTTATTTATAATTGGGCTTTTCTTATGATATCTTGTCATTTTTTTATATTGTTATGTTTGAGGATAGTTAATAATTTTAAATTAATCTTGTAATGTTTGGTGGAAACAATACTAGAAATATAAAAAGAAGACTTGGTTGTTGCTATCAATAGTTGGGTATTTCGCATGATATCTTCATATTTTTTTTTTATTGATAGTGTTATATTCATACAATTTTATCCTATAAAAGCACTTCTTCAGACACTCTTATTGGTAAAAATGTATCATTTTTCCTTTTTTTATATTGTTATGTTGTAGGACAATTTAATATTTTTAAATAAATCTATTGTGGTGTTCATGGAAACAATCTTAGAGACTAACCTGGTCGTTGCTATCAATTGTTGGGTCCTCCAAGAGAGAAATATAAATTTGAAAGAGTTAGGAATGAGTAAAGAAATAGTGAGGATTGACAAGTTGATTATCACGATGTAGGCATAAAGAATTTGATCCACTCTATTCTTATTATGTAATAGATGATTTTCATTTCAAATTTAATGATTATAAAATAAGAATGTAAATTTATAATTATTTTAAATTAAAAAATATCTTTATAATTATCATTAAATGGTATCATGAAATATGTAATGAAATAGATCACAATTCAATAAAAAGTGACACAAGACAGTGTGAGATGTGATGATGGGTAATTGAGTAATGGTATATAATTAAAAAAGAATAAGACAAAATATGATTTATTGTGTATCTTTCGTTTTAAAATAAAATATTTATAATAATAAATTTATTTATAAAATTGGCATTGTTATATTATCTTTATATAAATTTTAGGATAAATTATAGTTTTTACCGTGTGTCAATTTAGTCTCTATTGTTTCAATTTACTCTATTTTGCCTTTTAATTTAACGGATTGTGTCATATTAGTCTAACAAATAACGGTTATTAGGTTTAGTGGACGAAAAGTCAAACGATGTGTCAATTTGATTCCTGTCAAAATCGAGTAAATTAAAACAATAAAGACTAAATTGACACATTGTTTAAGCATGTGATGAGTTGACGTAGGTGAACTCGGTGATCTGATTAGAGAAGGCGTAGGTGACACAGTCGACGGCGGCGTAGTGCTTGAGCGTGAGTGCTTGCCGACGAAGCCAGCCGTGTCGGTGGTAGTACTGGATGTCGGTGGTTTATAGAGAAAGAGGCGCTTGGGTTTGGCTTAAGAGTAATGGATTTAACAAACAAATTTGGGGTGTTTTGGAAAGTTGATAAAAAGCTGACTTTTGATTTTTTATCAAGTTTTTTGACTTTTTTGGAAGTGATTTGGGAAGTTGGTAAAAAGCTAGCTTTTTTGATTTTTGGTTTAATATTTTTTAAAAATGTCACATCACTCCAAAATGACCAAAATATCTATACTTTTTGATTTTTGAATTAATTAATTAAAATATTCCGGAGGGTAGTTTGATAAATTTGGGTGTTACCTTTTTGGGTCTTCCCAAATGGGATTTTCAACGTTTTGGGATGGTTTGGCATTTTTGAGCTGCACACAAAACGCAGCTTTTTGTGTGTGTTGCCAAAACGACAGTTAGGCCCTGTTTGGTACAGCTTAATTTCAGCTTATTTCAGCTTTCAGCTTAATTTAAGCTATTTTGATGTGTTTGGTTTAGCTTATAGCTTATAGCTTATAGCTTTGTGGAAGTCAGAAAACAGCTTATTCTTTGAGTGGGGCAGGATATGCTTTAAGAATAAGCTGGAAATCAGCTTAAGCTGAAAGTTATAAGTTATAAGCTGTTTAGGCATAAGCTATAAGTACTTTCCCACAGCTCTACCAAACGGGGCTTTAGTAAGAAATGAATATTTTAGTTATTTCGCATTGTCTTGTTCTTATGTATATAACAAAGTAATGCCGGGATTTTGGACAAAAAAAAAAATCAAATATGAATTTTTGCACAGAGCACCTCAATTTTTTTTTAAATGTATTATGATTATTATTATTATTAGTTAAATTCATATTGTAATGGGAAGGATTCTATACCAAAAGGAGCCAAGAAGAAAAAATATTTAGGGTGCTTTGAAAAGATAATTAAAAATTAATTTTTTTTTAAACTTTTTCAATTGTGATAGAGACCCCACACATACATGACCCCCACAACCCTCACTCTCATCCCAACCACTCATAATGTGGAGCCTACACATACATGAGTGGACTCCACACACATTAAAGACCAAGATCAAATTGGGGGTCATGACACTTCCAAAGAAGGGAGTCCCAAACATTTTTTTAAACCTATATTTCCAAATGGCCTCTCAATACTCTTAGAGTGTCACGTGTTCATACTTTAGGACTAATTATCATATATTATGTCTCATCATACTCTACACAAAATTATAGACTATTCCTTCTCCTCCACCAATTATACCTTAGAATATCTAATAATCCCTCGAATTATAGATATGATAGAGAGCTCTAGTAGAACTGCGCTGAAGAGCTCGCAATGCACCAAAAAAAAACGCAAAAAAAAAAAAAAAAAAAAAAATTGTTATTTTTAAGTTCTTCTCTTAGGAGTCTAAAATATTTTTCTTCGAATTATAGCGTCCGAGGCGAGAAACGTCCAACAAGAAACAAGGTGGGATTCCAAGAAGCATCCAAGAAATTGGCCAGTCATGTGAGAATTGGGATTCCAGCAAAGCAATATGCACTAAAAAGTTTGGGAAAATAATAATAATAATAAAAGGTTTGACAAACGGAATAATCTCAATAGATTATATAAAATCTAAAGAGAATATTGCGGATCCGTTAACAAAAGGTTTGACAAAAGAGCTAGTGTATAGTTCATCGAAGGGGATGAGATTTAAGCTTATTACATAAGAGTGATCATAATGGTAACCCTACTTATATGACTGGAGATCTCAAGAACTAAGTTCAAAGGGACAACTAAGTTATGTGTGGCTCACCAAAAATCACCAAGGGATTAAATTTCCCTACCTATAACAAATAACATCAATAATAATATCATAACTAATATTGTATATTAATTAATACTATTAACAACAATGTTAGGTAGCTTAAAATTTTGTGACTCAAATGGCTCAAATCCTTCAAAACGACGTCGTTTTGAGTGTAAATAAGTATAAAACGACGTCATTTTGAGAAATTTAAGTGACAAAATTTTAAACTACCAAACATTTTCCAACTATTAATTGGTGCAGCCCCATCATTACTTTTTTCTTTTTCTCCTCTCTCCCCTCCCTCTCTCACAAAATGTGTGGACAAAATGGGTGGGGTGTGGGGTCCGGGGTCTGGATCTGTATCACCACTGGATCTGGATCTGGATCTGTATCTGTATCACCACCATTCTTTTATTTTTAACTCTACTCCCACTCCACAGATGAGATCCCTCCAAAGCCCATAACATGAGATGGAGGAGCTTGCAATTTGCAATTTACTCTTTTCTTACCTTTGGCCGAATCACTATTCTCTCACACTGTTTACAATTGATTTTGATCTCTAATCTATTTTTGGTTTGATCATCCATGGCTTTTAAAAGAAGCTTAGATCAGTGTTCTTCTTCTTCATCATCTTCGACACAACCTCACTGGAGCTATGACGTGTTCTTGAGTTTCAGAGGTAAAGATACCCGCAAAAACTTTACTGATCATCTCTACGAGGCCTTGGTTCAAGCTGGAATTCACACCTTCAGGGATGATGATGAACTTCCAAGAGGACGTGAAATTTCTTCGGAGCTTCTCAAATCAATCGAAGGATCCAGGATGTCCATCGTTGTTTTCTCAAGAAACTATGCTTCTTCCAGATGGTGCCTTGATGAGCTCGTGAAGATCATTGAATGCAAGAAAACACTTGGACAATTACTTGTCCCAATATTCTACGGTGTTGATCCATCTGATGTACGCCACCAAACTGGGTATTTTGGAGAAGCATTTGGGCGTTACGTGAATGAGATGGAGAAGGTGGAGGTGAGGAGAGCTGCCCTCTCTGAAGCTGCTAATTTGTCAGGGTGGGATTTGCAAAATGTTGCAAATGGGTAATCTTTATTATCATCCTTTTTATTTTGATGTTGCTGCTATCAATTTTTATCCTTAACTAGATAGAAAATCCTACCATGTTGATACTTGTTTTTACAATTGTCTATTTTAATACTTGTTTTTATTTATGGATTTGATTGAAAAAAAATTCAATTTTTTTGTTTAATACATGTATATCTTTTATTTAAACTGACTTACAATGCTTTCGTCAATAATTTTATTTAGGTCTGTCTTGGTTATAAAAACGAAATGAGTGTGCTCTGATTCATGCATATATAGAATATTTACTCCAAAATCAAGCTCGAGGCCTGAAATATAATACGTACAGTGATGGAGCTAGGTATTTAGTAAAGAGAGGGCACAAATTAATGACAATATTGATTTTGTTTTTTTCTCATAATAAACAACAATGAGATATTACTGAACATAAATATTAAGAGTTTATTTAGATAGATGTGAATTAAAGGATTTTGGGTTAAATTTTATACAAATATTGTGGAGTAACTGTTTTAGGTGGATTGAAAAAATAAAAAAAGAAGATAAGTTGAGATAGAAATGATATATCTTAGTAGAGAAATTCTATAAAACACCGCAAAAAAAATGTCTTGTCATATGTCATAGTTATGATCTTTGTGGTCTTTTAGTTATGACACATTATAGTGTTGGATATGACTTAGTTATAACTTCTTGTGGTTGTTATTTTGATTATGATTGAAGATGTCTTTGATTATATATCAAGTAATAATTCGTAATGACTCATTCTGATATTAGTTATAACTTATTGTAAATTTTTTTATTTATATATTTATTTTTATAATTGAAGATATATTGTTTGGTTATAATTTATATAGTAGTCATTTTAGTTATGAATGAAAATAATTTGATTATGAAAATTTATAATATCAATTCCATAAAGTAATAACTAGTATAAGGTCTTGTATTTCCGTATTGTATACTTGCTTCACTTTTTATTTGGATCGAAATTGACAGGTATGAAGCAAAGTTCATTCGAAAAATTGTTAAAGAGGTTTTATGTGAGCTGAAACATACATTCCTAAATGTTGCTGTGCACCCAGTTGGAATAGATTCTCATGTTGAACGCATAAAGTTGTTGTTCATGAGAATTGGATCAGATGATGTTTGCATGATTGGGATATACGGCTTGGGTGGAATAGGCAAAACGACCATTGCAAAAGCTGTGTATAACCATATTTTTCGCCAATTTGAAGGGAGTTGTTTTCTTGCAAATGTTAGAGAATTTGCAGGACAATTCAATGGCCTACTTCGATTGCAAGAACAACTTCTTTTTGAGTTATTAAGGATAAAGAATCTAAAGATTGGCAGTGTTGATAGAGGAATGAATTTGATAAAAGAAAGGCTCCATTCTAAAAGGGTTCTCATTGTTCTTGATGATTTGGATCAATTAAGTCAATTAAATTCCTTGGCAGGAAATCGTGATTGGTTTGGTCCAGGAAGTAGAATCATCATAACAACTAGAGATGAGAACTTGTTGAAGGGATTGAAAGTTGATGAAAGATACATGGCTATGGGATTGAATCACAAAAAGTCTTTGCAGCTTTTTAGTTGGCATGCCTTTGGTGAAACTAATCCATTAGAAAATTATGCAGATCTTGCAAATGGTATAGTAAGTTATGCTAGTGGGCTGCCACTAGCTCTTGAAGTTTTGGGTTCTTATTTGTTTGGAAGAAACATGGTAGAATGGAAAAGTGCATTTGATAAATTGCAACAAATTCCTCATGAGGAAATTCAGAAAAAACTTAGGATAAGTTTTGATGCACTAGATGATGACAAAATAAAGGATATCTTCCTTGATATTGCTTTCTTTTTCATTGGAATGGACAAAAACTATGCCATTACTATATTGAATGGTTGTGGTTTCTTCGCAGAAATTGGAATTAGTGTTTTGATTAGTAGATGTTTACTGAGAATTAGTGAAAACAATGAGTTGATGATGCATGATCTAGTAAGGGATATGGGAAGGGAGATTATTCGTGAAAAATATCCCAAGGAGCCTGAAAAGCGCAGTAGATTGTGGTTTCATGAAGATGTATGCTATGTACTTGAAAAAAACAAGGTAAGAGTTGAATCTTAATTCTTTGGCTTTTTGGGCTAAAATAGTATTAAAAGACAAAATGTCACATCAAATGTATAATCATTTTATATTTTCTCTCATAAACATTACATCTTAATTCTATAGTCTTTCTTCCTTTTAATTTTCCATTTTGATTTTAAATATTACTATATTAGGGAACGGAAGCAGTCAAAGGTGTGATTCTGACCCAACCCATGTTAAAGAAGATACAATGGAGTAATAAGGCATTTGCTGGGATGCCTAAGTTAAGATTGCTTCGAATAAATCATGTGCACCTCTGTGGAAATTTTGAGCATCTATTTGAAGAGTTAAGGTGGCTCTATTGGCATTACTGCCCATCGGAGTATTTACCATCCAATTTTCATCTAGAGAAACTTGTTATTTTAGACATGCAATTCAGCAAATTTAAAACACTCTGGACAGATGGCAAGGTATGATTTTCTTATTAAAGTTTTTGTTGTTTGGGATTTTGGATAAATTCTTTGGTGGGATCATGATGAAAGAAAATGATATAATTCTGAATATTTTTTTCTTGGTTTTAACAGCACTTCAAGAGTTTGAAAATTCTAAATCTCAATAATTCCAAATGCCTAACAAAAAGTCCCATCTTCTGCGCACTATCGATGCTTGAGCAATTACAGCTTGAACGTTGTACAAGTTTAATGGAGCTCCACGAATCAATTGGACTTCTAGATAAACTTGTTTACCTGAATTTGAAAGATTGCATGAACCTCAGGTATCTTCCAGGCAGTATCTGCAAGTTAAAGTCTGTTGAACATCTAAATCTCACTGGTTGTGCAAAACTAAAGGAGTTTCCAGAGCACTTGGGACATATGGAAAGCTTAACAGAGCTTCTTGCAGATGGAACAGCCATTAAACAACTACCTTTCTCTATCGGACTACTGAAGAATCTTAGGAAGTTATCGTTGAAGGGATGTAATAGGCAATTCACGACTAAATCCCGGTTTTCTCTTATATCATCTTGGGTTTTGTCGAGAAAAAAAGCGAACTCCATAAGATTTTTACCATCCTCTATTTTAGGTTTGTGTTCCTTAACAATTCTAGATCTCAAAGATTGCAATCTGTCTGAAGGAGATTTTCCAGGTGATCTTAGGAGTTTATCATCCTCATTGCAACTGTTGGATTTACAAGGAAACAATTTTCGTAGCCTACCATATGGCTTCAGTCATCTATCCAACCTAAAAGACCTTTTTGTGGATTACTGCACAAGTCTTCAATTTATCTCAGATCTTCCTTCTAATTTATGTAGAATCAGTGCATCTAATTGTCCATCACTTGAAAAAATATCCGATGTATCAAAATTGAAGGCTCTCCAAATGTGGGTGGGTAACCCCGGATTTGAGCATATTCTCTCAAATCGTGGTGAGGGTGAAGATTGTTTTGACTATTTTCTAGGTGCACGAACCATCATTCCTTTGGACAGGCTCAACAATTTACAAACTCTTCAGGTCTCTCTCTCTCTCTCTCTCTCTCTCTCTCTCTCTCTTTCTCTTAGGTGCAACAATTTAGCAAAAAAAATCTCTTTGAAAATTAAGTGAAATGTGTGAAACCAAATTTATCTTAGATGTGCCATGTAAAATATCAAAGGAGGAGGATTCCATCTGATCCAGATTATATGGATTGGAGGACGCTATTTAGGTTTGTGGAATCAATCATGGGGTCCACCACAAATTCTGTTTTGATAATTTGATTCTTTCATTTTATCAGACATTCTGTGTGTTTCATTTATTAAAAAAAAAAAATTATATTGATCGATAATCATAATATTATTCAATTTATCAAATTTGATACACACACACAAAAAAAAAAAAAAAAAAAAAGTGACAATTATATTTTTAAACAATAAATAATATATTTTGTGGTGACAAACGCAATAAATTAAATAGATTATGATTATCAGATCGATTTAATTTGTGTGTGAATGAAATAGATGAAGTGTTCAACAAAATGAATTATTCAGATTATGAAAACGGAACCTGTGGTAGGTCCCATGGACCTAAACAATACCAGTGGATTAGAGAAGAGTTGCCTATTAGATATGGAAAATAATATCTTACTCTTACTGAATTTTTTATTCAAAATTTTTTACTTGAATGATGTGGTAGTAACAATTTTAAAAATAGGATTCACTAGTTTTTTTACTGTTTTTATTACCAGCTACATGATAATATATTAGATGATTATATATCACATGTTTATATCATCTTTTTATATCACCAACCTACTTGGAAAGATGTCATTTGTTTGCATTAATTTGTTAATAATCATCTTCAAATAAGAGAATTAATTATAAGTATGACATAAAATAATGATAAATAATTAGTCATATATAGCATTTCTCTATGACAATATGTTATTTGTTTTCATTAATATCTTAATAATTATCTCTAAATAAATGAGCCAATTATAAATTTCCATGTAGACAATAATACAAAACAATGATAAAAACGTATGTGACATAACTAACATTTCTTTTTTCAAATATAAATAAGTCTTTTAATTCTAAATGATAAAATTAAAACTTGTCACTGTATTAATTTGATGCAAAAATAATTTCAAACAAGATTATGTGGATACACAATAAACAACATGACATAATCTTAATTATACATATCACAAGAAAAGAGTAGGATTCATCATAAAATATACAGTTTCACTCTCAAATTATTTAACCTATATTTTATGTTATTGATTTTGTATTCGCAAATTTATTTTAATTATTTTTTTCTTGCAATCTACTAATTAGAAATTCATATGACAGCATCTTCGTGGCAGGAAGTTCGACATATTCTTTCCCGGTGACTTCAACGATGATTTCAACTATAACATAACAGGGTCTTCTTCAATATCCTTAGAAGTGCCAGTGCAAAGGGAAGACAACTACGTTTCAGGGTTTGGTGTGGGAATTGTTTATTATAAAGCTGCGGATGAAGAAAGCTGCACCATGAAATTAGATGATTATCCATACGTGATTATTACTGATAAAATTAATGGCATCGATTTTACTTATATCCCAGACTTCTTCGGCATCCCTAAAAGTAGTGGAGATTATCGATGGGGCAGCCATATAATAGTTGGAGAATATTTTGGGTATAGAATTAAAGGTGGTGAGCAATTCCAAGTTTCTTTCATTATGCCGTCAGCTTTTAAAGTAAAGCGGTGTAAGACGTATTTGGTTGTCTATCCCAAAAGTCGTCACCTACGCCCTGTCCTTCCTTCTATAGATGACGACCCTTCCTCTACAGATGACAAAGAATGATCATGAAAATTGTCACCAAAACATCAATTGTGATTGAGCCATCTCACATTTTCCTTTGAATAAATATGAATAAATTATTCTTTTCTTTTTTTTTTTCCTTTTTAGATAGTGCAAATACATTTATTTTTTTGAGATTTGTTTAAAATCTATAATTTTGAAAATTACAAAAACTTGTTTAATTCTGAATTCTGAAAAGAGAAAACTTATTTGGTTATAAGTTTGAAAAAGAGTTTAGAGTTGTATTTTGAATTTCCCCCCCTTTTTTTTAAAAAAAAAGTATGAAAATTTTCTTATTTTATTTCTTTAGGATAAATATTTTTTACTGTAAATATTTATGTTATTTTTTTGTGCGTTTTATTTTTTAAAAATTTAAAATATTATTCTAAATATTTAAAAAAATATTATTTTATTTAATATATAATTTATTTTAAATTTTTTTTATTTAAATATTTTTTGGAATAGTTTTTATTTTATTTTTTAAATTATTTAATTTTTAAAATTTAAAAAACGTTGAATTGCCTTATATATTTAAAATTATAACAAAATTATTTGGTAAAAACGGAAAAAAATAACAAAATATTTTTTTGAAAAATTAAAAAAAGTTAAAAAAAATTCTTCAATATATATATTCAAAAAATAAAAATAATTTTAAATAAAAAAGATAAAAAAAATTGATTCTTTTTTTTAAAAAAAAATAGAATTTTGAAAGAATTTGATTATAAGTTTTAAAAATAATTTTTGAATTGAGTTTTGAGTTATATATGTAGTAAGGGTGGGTGCGGGTCGGTTACAATTATGGAACCTCCAATCCGTCATCTATCCGCTAGATTGGTGGATTGGAGAAAGTCAATCTACATCTGTCGGCCAATTCGGCGGATGTGGATTAAGCGGATTGGCGGATTGGCGAATGGATGAGAATCGGTTTGGCAGTTTAAATTTTATAAATTTTCAACATAATTCAACATAATTCAACTTGTGCACTTCCTCAAAAAAAAAAAAAGTATTATAGTCAATAACTTAAAAAGTATTACAATTATTGTATGTATCATCTATATATTACAATCACAGTATGTCTCATCTACATGAAGTATTACATAAAATACTACATTTTGTGGTTTTTAAAATATAAAAATAAGGAAAATGTTTGGCACCCCCCCCAAAGTGATCATAGCCTTCCATGTATGTGTGGGGTCCACATCATGAGTGGTCCAGATTTGTGGAGAATCTTGTGGGGGTGAGGATCTCAATCCTTACTTTAAAAATAATTCAAACCATCAAAATCATGAACAAAATAATAGTAGAGATTGTATGTCTCTGTATTGTTACATATATATTTGTTTTTGAAAACAAAAACCAACTATCATATATCATCTTTTTTTCTTTATTATTTTTAGCGTTAGATTTAAAAACCAAAAAATATAGATAAATAATACATTTATTTTTTTCAATTCAAAAAATATATTCAAGTTGAAAACTCTTTTTCAACAAAATATTAAACTCTTTTTCAATTAAATACACAAATAGAATACCTAAACAAATAAAAAACACAGTTTTACACATTACTAAGGTGCTCGTGGTTTGACGGTTCGGTTGCGGCCAAAAGAATCTCAAATCCACCATCCGTCTAAAACTAGGCGAATTTAAAAATCAATCTGCAACCGTCTGCTCGTCATCACGCATCCGTCCAAAATGCGATGGATCGGTTCGGTTCGGTCGGTTTAGGCAGATCGATATATCCACTGCTCACCCATAATATTTAGTTAGTGTAAATTACACTGACACCCCTTAAGATTTCTGTTTAATACATATTTTCCCCTTATATTTGAAAAGTTACATTTCTCTCGCTAAGGCTTGTAATGTCATTACAAATTGCCCCTTAGATAGCTGATGTCATGCCCTAAAATCTTCTAAATGACCATTTTGCCCTTTTTCCTACAATTTCATCTTCTTATCATCATGATTGCATTCTATAATTTTTCATCATTAAATTCTATCTGAACATATTCTTATTGAGTGATGATATACAAATATAAATTTTATATAAAATTTTCAATCCCAATGATATAGTTTAATGATGATTTTTCATTTTAAAACAAGGCAACCATAAACATGATTTATATTTACAACATCACTATCAATTTTTTTTTTATGATATTTGTTGTATAAATTTTTATATATTAATACAATTTTTCATTTTTATTTTCACTATCATTTTTCTTTCTCGTCTATTCACCCACATTATTACAGTATTACCAAATATCGTCATTCACATTTATTACGGTATTATTAAATTTTTGTATTTTTTTTTATATTGTTGAATTTTTAAAAAAAAATTTACAAAATATTAAGTATATCTAGATTAGGTGTATCTAAAAAAAAAAAAAATGCTTAAAATATTAAAAAAACATGAAAAATAAAGAAATTTAATTTTTTGTATTAGTTAACCAAAGAAGATGATTATTATTTCTTTTGAAATGATATGAACAAAATATTAATATTATTTTATTATTTTATTATTTTATATGTATAATAGTTAAGAGATAAATATGTTATTTTAATCCGATAATAAGATAAGTGTAATTTTTCAAACGTAAATGAGAGATTATATGAAAATTGGGTGGTAGCTCGAAAATTTAAGGGTCGAATGGCCCGAAATTTGAAAAGGGAGAGAAGAGAGGGAGAGCAGAGAAGAGAAGGAGAGAAGAGGACGTCGTCGCCTCTGCCGACGCCGTCGCCTTGCCGCTTGTCGCTTCTGCCGACGCCGTCGCCTTCGCCTCGCCGCCTGTGCCTCCGCCGCGAGGAGCTCGTCCAGTCCTTCAGCCTCGCCGCAGCCCCGCCTCCTCCTCCAGCCGATTTTTATGGCCCCCTCCCCTCCCTCCTTCCTCCTCCTCCCGATCTTCTTCTCCACCCTTCTTCTTCTTCTCCCCCCTTCCCTTCTTCTTCTTCTCCTTTTTTCCCCTCCTCCTCTGATTTTCTACTTCTGATAGGAAGACGAAGACCCAAAAAAAAAAAAAAAAAGAGGCAAAACGACGTCGTTTTGCTTTTTCGACCCATTCGACCCACGAATTTTCGAGAAAAAAAAAAAAAGGCAAAACGACGTCGTTTTGCTTTTTCGACCCATTCGACCCACGAATTTTCGAGCTACCAACCGGGGTTGGAGATTATATTTAACAAAAATCTCAAAGTGTCAGTATAATTTACCCATTTAGTTATGAATTTTAAAATTTTTTAAAATTAAAATCATGATTTGATTTGAGTTTCAAACCAAATATGGTACTAAAATTTGACGGTCAATATTCCACACTTTTCGTTGTAGGGTTTAAAACAGCAACCAATAAAATAAACCCTTTTTCTTCTTCTTGTATCGATATTCAGGGAAAGCACGTCATTCTGGTACTGTTTATATCATTCAATTTCATTTTTAATTCTTTCGTAGCTGTTGTTTGGTAATTGTGTGAAGATGAAGATTTTTTGTTTTCTGATTTTTTGGTTGCATAACGACTCGTGAAAGCGATTTCATTTTGTGACATTTGATTGATGTTTGCTTCTGTATTTATTTATTTTTTTAAAGAACAAACATTTAGATCGAAAAGGGTTACTGCAATGTATCTTTATTCATCATTTCAATGAAATGAACCACTACATAACATGGGGCATGATCTGAGATTTTGTCAAATTAGGATACAGTGTGGACGTAGATATTATTTTTTAAAATTTCTAAGAGTTTTGTTAAGCCATACACCAGAAATTATCATATGAGTTAGGAAGATGGAAACACTATATATGCACTTTAGTTACTAAAAAGGATAATGGCATAACTTCAATCTAAAAAAAAGAAAAAATTGTCATAACTAAATGACTAAAGAACTCATGAGTCATAACCAAAAAACAAAATTGGTCATAACTAAAGATGAAAACGGCGTAATTAGGAGTGCATATGGTACACCCTTTTTAAATGGGTGTCTATTAGAATTTTCCTAGGAAGATACATGTTAAGAAGAAAAAAAATTTGTACATGTTGCATAAAAATGCATGCAATAAATGAGATATAATATTTTTAAACCTCAAGGACACAAATTAACAAGACCCAGATTCTAAACTTCTTTACCAAGCTTATTTAGAAAGCTCTGGGAGGAGGGTATGTAGTAATGTGGGAATCCAAATTACAACCATCATACAGAGCCTTCCCAGGAGGACGAGATATGGTTAATTTATGTTACTGGCCAGGTCCACACCTTGGAGTCGTGCCCCCAATCCCTTCTGCACCACCACCACCACCACAACAACAATAAAGATCACAATATTATATAATGACAAAAGATTATTTCATGTGGGTTACATTGAGACAAGAAAAATAAACGTGCAATTTGGATCAGTGATGGGTGCATAGTTGTTCTTATTCTCAACATTTATGGGATTTGATATTATACTTGTATTTTTATTTTCTATTCAGCTTTGATATTCTTTCTTTGACATGTTACTTATATTTTGGTTTTTCCTTGGCTCAGGTTGAGGACATTGTGGATACGGGAAACACTTTGTCTTATTGCTCTTTTGAAATCCAGAGGAGTGTACTCTGTATCAGTGTGTACCCTCCTTGATAAACCAGCAAGATGAAAGGTTAACTTTGAGCTTGTGGGTAAAGGAAAGTATTATTGTGGCTCTGAGGTACTCTCTCTCTCTCTCTCTCTCTCTTGCATATGCAATTGGTGGAACCTTTTCTAATTCCTAGTTTTACCATGTTTGATGTTTCAAACAATTGAAAACTAATACATTTGAAAATAGTCCATCTCTACTTTATCACAATAGTTGTTAACTTGTTATAATGTTTTCGAGACGTGGCCTTCTTTTTTCTGGGCTTGTATGGAACTTTTCTCTTTCCTTTGAGTTTAGATTATTTGACCTCTCTTCACTGAATTCTTGTACATTTTGACAACTATAACAGAAGAAGATGCCTTTTTCTCTTCACCCAGAATAACCAATCACATCTAATGGACTTTGAAGTAGTATTCCCAAAAGTGATATGTAATTGATGGATTAAATCTTTGATTTTTTTTTTTTGTTA